GTCCAAACAACCTGGAGCCGATATATTTGAGGGAAAACCATATACAGGTCTTGATATCATCTAAGAAAAATGAATATATGGAGAGTGCCATTCTGTTGAGTCCACTGACATGCTGAATGCAGTACTATGTGAAATGTAATGATATTCTAGAGGAGTGTTATCTGAAGGGTTCCATTGCGCCTGCAGTGCCCTTATTTGTGGAGCACATCTGCGTAAAGGGTAAGGATATCCTCCAGTGTCACCTTAGATAAAGGGTATCCACGTGTTTGTAATACTTATATATGGAAGATAGTCATACCGTTATTGCATTGGTATTTCAGGAATGAAGGGACGCCCTGGATACCATTATCTGTACAATACTGGTGTTGATTTCCATTCCTAGTAATGTGCGCGAATATACGTGTACTATTATTATATGGAGAGTATAGTCGTACCTGTACTAGTGTAGGTGAAGGATTTCGGGTTTAAGCATTCCTTATATGGAAACCACTATTTTGTGAAGTCCATGGATATTCCAGTATAACTTTTGTTTAGGGACTATCATTGTCTCTAGTTTTTCAATGGTGACGGGTGTAGAAGTCGGCATACTACTATTCTATAAAGGTACAAGTAGTTGAGCTATATGGATCACCTTGAGTGCTATTATACAGACGAAAGCATGATGTGTCATGTGTTTTGCCTTTATGAGTAGGATTACCATTGAAGTACGATTCTTTGATAGAGTACGATAATACAAGAAGTACCGTCCTGTTTACAGTAGTGTTGTGTGGATAATACTTCCATTTGAACAGGATATTTGCTGAAGGAATATTCATGACTTGGAGTACCGTTATGGGGACACTACAGATCTATGTATAGTACTCATATTTAAAGATGCCTGATATGGCTGATACGACGACATTTGATGAGTGGCAAAATTAATCCCGTATTATTAAGTAAAGTAAGGGGGGGTGTAGAATTCATGACTTAGCTTTGTGCCGTATGAGGAGGTGCCACCGTTACAAAACGTGTTGAAGTGCCCATAATAGCTCCGTATGGAGGGTACAGTTTTGTGGGACACATGAATGTGTGAATTGCATTGTTAGTTCAAGAGGACTAATGTTATGTACAGGATAGTTTGTCCTGATGAGTATAGCTGTCTTTGGACTACCATTATTTGAAGGGTCGTCATGTTGGTTTAATGGCTGGAGGATATGACTTGGGCGATTCTGCAGATCCGACAGTTGGCCTCCAATCATTTTGTTTAAACAGTAGAGCTATTCCAGGGCTACTATAATGTTAACCGTATTATTGTTTCAAGAATACTGATTTTCGAGGGGTGTCATTATTCATAGAGTAATATTCTATGAAGTAGCAAGATATACCACGGAGGGATATGCCAAGGAAGTATTGATGTGTTCCCATTTCCCATGGTGACGAATGCGGAAATTCTCGTAGTACTGTTATATCAATGTATTAATGGTTTATCTATACTGATATCTGCCAAGTACCGTTCATTTAAGGGCATAATTGTATAAAACGTACGGATGATCTTCGGCGCAGTCTTTTGAGTGTATTCATATCTCCCTAATGTGGTATCTTGGAGTGCACAATTGTGGTGGGATTCTGGATACCCCCCATGCACAATTATTAAAAGAGGTGGAATATCATGGCCTGTTGTTTAGGCTTCTATTATAGGGAAAGCACCCTATTCCGGAATTCAAAGTACTCCCTGGAGTGTTATTATATTAACAGCCGTATGATGTGTGGAACTGCATGATTGGGGGAGTACCGCTCGAGCAAGTGTACACATGTGCGTGAAGGAGTATTGTGTAAAAATTACTTATTCGCTCCAAATGGTAACATTCCCAGAGAACTATTATGTGAACAATGCGGATTTTTGCGGAGTATTGATATATTAGGGATCACGCTGTGAGGTGAATACTACTGTACCGGGAGTACCCTGATTTAAAGTGTATGAACATGCATGTCGTATCGTTATCCTTATCCGTCGTCCATGCCTACAATGATATTGTATGAATAAAACACATGTATCAAGTAGAGAGATATACATAGTGTACCATTAATATATAAGGCATAGCATGATATGAACTATATATATGTGTCTAAAATGTAAATACGAATAAAGATGTATCAGGAATATTATTGTATACATTTACCGATTATGCTGTTATTGCAAGGAAGGGAAAATATTTTACAACTAACAGAGAGCTTGTAGCAGATTCATTTGAAAGAAATTATTGTCCCTGCACTTATATGATATGTAGAGAGAAGGAAAAATGAGAAGTGGCATTCTGTGGATTGCAATGATATTCAAAATACAGTATTATATGAGGGATACGGATATTCTCAAGAACCGTCCTTTGAAGGATAGGGATTTTCCTACAATATGGCCATCGAAAATGCAAAAGTGTGTGAATTGCGGGCTATGTGTTCCAACTTTCGGTTCCTATTATTTGGACCACACCAGTCATTGATGAGTATAGATCTCTATGAAATAGTATTATGTGAAGAATTAAGGGCTACATTCTAAAGAAAAGAGCAGGCCATTAATTACGCGAAGATGCAAGCGCTATAGATGTGTCGAATGTATTATTGCCGGAGTAATACAATAGAGACAGAAATACTTGCATATGGACAATGCAAGGATTCTAGCGGAAATGTTGTTTGTAATGTACAGTGTCGCAGGAAGGCTTTTATGTGGAGGCCTCAGAACATAGCGTTTTAGATACGAATAATTGGAGAACGTGACTAATTGAGGAATAATGATTTATGTGTAGTATTATTTAAAAAATATCGCTCCCCCCAGGACTACGGGCCTGTAGAATGTACGCTTAGCATACATTCCTCTTATATGAACCATGCCTCTATACCTCCAGTATTATTTTTTGTACTGTATACAGGTCTCTTGAATATTATTCTGGACCAGGTTCATATTTTACACTTTTTTTATTTGGAGACTATTATTGGATGAAGATAAAACATCTCGATGGGGATCCATGATATCAGGAACATAATCGTGCGGGTTCTATGACTATGACTGGAATACGTTTATATGGAAAAGTTAGGTCAACGAGTGCTATTATTTGAAGAATAGAATGAGGCCAAGGATATAAACTTCCTTGGAGAACTAATATATAAGGAGTAAATTTTTCGCGACCATTATTAAGTATGTGAGAAGGAGACATTTCTCTACAGTAGCAATGCATAAACAGTAGGAAAATCCGTAGAGTCCCTATTGTGGAGTCGTCAAGATTTAAAGCAAGAAGTACCATAATTTAAAAAGAGATATTTAGTAGGAGATAATAGAGTGGATGCAGCGTTCTACTTCGAAGGGTTCCAATCACTAAGCGTTACACATATATAGAAAATACGAGATGCCCCCGGTATATTTGTATTAACTGTAAAAAGCGGCATTACAGCAACTGTTTAGAGGATAAACCTCTATCAAGGGTAATATTCTATGTAAAACAGTGCTGTGTGAGGAGAAAAATTGTTTAAGATAATACAAAGGTTTGGAGATTCGAATTCCTTGAGGAGGACGGCAGTTGTAAAGATCATACCATTTCCCCAATACCCTGGCTTCTAAGATACTTCCATTCCAGGAATACTCATATACCAATCATAAGGCTATTCTTGCTGTATAGGAAACTGAGGGATACTATCACTAAAAGGGGTTTCAAGCTACCGAGGGTGTTTATATATAGTAGAAACTTCTTATAGGAGAAATAACACAGTAAGTACAGTAATACGTCGTGAACTGTGATTATTCCTTCTCAATATTATTGTAATACAGGTTCAATAATTATCCCGGTACTATTAAGAAACAATTATTACGGAACACTTGAGAATCTGCCTTAATCTGTAATATTTTCCAATTAAGAGAACTCCAGATCCATGCCGTCCTATTAAACTATAACAATAATGTAAAATGAAAGATTAAACTTCTTATAACCTAAGAAGGAATAGAAAATAACAACAGGAATAGTACTATATACAACAGGATATTTCTCCTACGGACTCAGGAATAATAGTAAAATGGAAACAGCGAAGAAGATAAATTGAGCATACAAATAAGAATACACAAAGGATACCAAAGAATAATGAATCAAAAAGGGGAGGACAATCCCTATAGGAGCGGATGACTATAATAGGAAGTATATACAGATACAACTGATCTATTTGAAAAAATTATCTACTTGGAACAACCGGAACAGCTATTTATAAAACCATATGAATAAAAAACCACCCAGTGAAGATCTCAAACTAAAGGTCCAAGTAGAGATGCCGAAAAGGACAGATACATAGTTAATAAGTACACCCCAAAGAACCCAAGAAGGCAAACTAAAAGAGGACATGCACAAGAGACCTACATTAGGAGCTACCGATAAAAACAAAGAAGCCAAGGACAAAAAAAGCATAAGACCTAGAAAAAACTGTGGGAAGCCACCCTTTCCTTCTTATAGAATGGATATATCAAATCCGGGGTTTCATGTTTTCTAAAATATACACAACCGAATAAAAGAAGATAATCTCTTGAGTTTGTGTCGGGTCCATGGAGTATAATAAGTCCTACCATGACTTCTTCTTTACCTGTATCTGAGACTATAGAAGATACTCTAAGGACCTTCTCAATATTCCCACAACAAGGATGTACAATCTGACATGGTATTCATAACACATTATATGAATAAAGAGGTATAGAAATATGGATTGATGGCCTTCGCCTATAAAAAGGACCCCATGGCCTATAAGGGAGTCTAACTCCACCATAAATTTATGAAGTTCAGCTAAAGAACCAAAACAGGTGAATAAATACATGATAATTCTGCCGGACATATGGTTTTTATATGAGTTTTAAAAATAAATCACACTGTGCCTATAAGCCTCCCTAGGGAAACTCACTCCCATAATAATAAATCAGATAGTTTTATGAACATAATGTGTCCAATTCCATCTAACTAATTACATAAAATTCCCAAAAAAATCAGTGAACTGCAACAGAGCTCAATACACCCCCAAAAAGATTACATCACTATCCAAAGAGGATCCAAATCTGCGTTTATCACCCTGCAGGTAACAGAATAACTGTTTAACTAGATTACTGAAAGACATTGCAACATGGAGAGATCTTCTTTGACCGGGCACAACTAAGCAACAATAATATAAAACAAGATATCAAAATCTCATAGAGCATAAGTAAAAAGAAACCAATCAACTCCCCAGCCAAACTAAGCTAATAATTAGGAATATATTGATAAGAGGTAAGAAATCATCCGAAACGGGATAAAGTAAACCAGGAGGTCACATACCGACAAGACCCCAGAAGAAGGAAGCCATAGAGACTCCACTGTAATAGAACCGATGAATGAATATACAGGACTCACCAGAAGAACTTAGTATAAGATCCAAAAAACTACTGAAACAAGAAGACGAAACCCCCCAAGTCCATTTTTAGATAAAATAAGAACGAAAAGCTAATACCACTGAACCCAATTAAATAGGACTATATACTCCAACCAAAGCTGTTGGCACAAACTCGGGAAGGGGCAGTTTAAGAATAAAGAAAACTCCACCCAAAAAACCGAAGCAAAAGACAAAGAGGAGTGTATAATAAGGCCTCCGGGATCAACCAAATTCTGAGAACGAGCACAGAAAAACACTCCGTTTTGACCATAAACCGGACAACCAAACAAATACAGAACCGGGAAAAATTAGAGCCAGACCTTATCAAATGGTCGACCTATAACCTCCCAAAGACAGACTCTGAGGCCAAATCACCCACTCCCGGGGTCTAGGCGGAAGAATATCTCATACAAGAATAGGTATGAACAGACAACCCGAGTCCGAAAAACAACACCAAACCGCCCAAACAGGCCGAAGATCTGATGATCAATCTATATCCTAAGGAAAATAGGGGAAAAACATTGGAAAGGCGAGTCCGTCCTCAAACACCCGATAAAAAGGAAGCCCCTAGGAACCCAGAACTAGACCAGGATATTTTAGTCCACCTATCAGGAAGGGGGTACCTAAAACAATTACCACAGGACAGAATAAAAAAGAAGGAGTTAAATACAGGTAAAATTAAGTATAAAACAACACCTTAGTAAACAAGCGGGTCTAATGATCTAAGTAAAAATAATAAGGACTCATATAAGAACAGCCGTCAAAGCTCACCAAACGGGCTAGCCCAAAATATTTCACTATATGAGAAAGGAATGCAAAAGAACAGACCTCAAATAATTAAGGGCAAAGGTAAACCACCCCAGGAGAAAAAAGTATATCTCATCCCAAAGCCCAAAACAAATCTAAACCCCAGGTGACACTAACCGCTCCCCCCCTTAACTAGCAGAACAGAAGGATCCCTGCAGATGACAGTATCCCAACAGAACAATAAGGAGCAATCCCCCGAAGAAAATCCACGAAACACATCAATAGGGAACGAGTTGACTAAATCCCTAAACCAAGAGGGACCTCTGAGGTCCAGTAAGCCGACATCCCAATAGAATCCGCCCCATCAAGAACGAACAAAGGGAATACGAAGTAAAAACAAACGATCAGATTACTCTAAACCGGAATCGGTTTCCTCTCAGAACAAATTTCCTCAGGGATAACCCCTTAAATCCAATACCCAAATAGAAGGTCAAACAGTGAAGGAGTTCCCTAAAAAGGGGACCCCTTTAAGGAAAACTCCAGTACCGAGGTTAACCTGTATAGGAAACTCAAAGTCAGGATAAGCTCCCCCACGTGTCTTTAGAGTGATAAAGTTCTAATGACCAGGAACCCACTAAGAGGACAAATAAATTCCCCACAAACACACCGAACGGGGGCAAGAAGAAGAGAGACATGGCCCTTACCCCAGATTCTCTCACACAAGCAGAATAGGAGTAAAAATCCCTTTAAACCGAAACCATTAAGAGAAAATGAACCAGCTTATAACAATGAAAACCGCAGTACAGTTCAAGTAAGATACCGAAAACTGGCCCAGCTGATTCAAAGACCCACTCAATGTACTGAATCAATCCAAAACAACAGAACCGTATCCAAAGAGGAAGAGGCATTCATTAATAAGGGAGGACTTAATCCCCAAATTTAATTAGAGAAGGATAAGGCCTACATAACCCGAAACCACTGAATAATTGACTAAAGACCATATCCCCAACCCACAACACTAGTCGTAGGAATCATACAAGACTAAGCCAAACAGGAAACACTGAAAGGCATTCATCTAAGTAACAGGGGTCACAGCCTATCTTTAGGACTCATCAGTCCCAGACCCAGCCAAGTCCCCTGTGTAAAAATCTTACAGCCCAACTGAAGAACATCCCGACTGACCAAATCAAGGTTAGCCCCAACTGTAATCACACTCTAATCCGACCAAATCAGCTGAAGGGAAGCAACAGGTAATCATAGATAGCCACAAACCCAGAGACGGGGGAAAATTTATATAACCCAGACAGTAGGATAGACAAAACAGCGCAATCAAAACCGTCCAAACCGAAAATAACGAGACGGGGATCCCCCAACACTCCAATAAATCCCAAGACGCCAACTAAAGTCAAACACCCCACAGAACCAACAAAAATCCTTGCCGTCAAAAAACTCAATAAGTACTATCTCAAAGCTCCCTCCCCCTCGAGCAAGGAAATATTTCATCTTCTATCCCGAGCCGACCCAAAATCCCCCTATCAGGGAATAGAGGAATCGAAACACCCCAAAGAATCTTAAACAAAGAGAAATCTTAGACTGTCGGAAACAGTCAACCTAAGTCACCATACGAATCCTGAGAGAAAAAACCCCAATCACCCCCAGATTTAAAGTGAACTTCCCCAACACCAAACGCCGGAATCAACTATCCGCACCAACTTAAGAGATCACCAGAATCGTCAAAGCTGCTATCCTCTAAGTACCCAAGGGACAGAGGAGAGGACGAAAAATATAAACAAGGGGGTGTGTCTCCCCCTACGGCTACTGGAGTCAACTATTCAGCCAAAACTAATACGAGAAAGTATCTAACGCCTCAAGGCAAGTCACCGCTCAGATCCCCCAGGAACCAAACCAAGAGGCTGCTCCACCCAGGACTCTCTGGAGATTATGATAGTTAATCAATGAAAAAGTACGTCTGGAAAAACAGGAAAAAGCCTAGACCAGTAGTGTACTATCTAATGAGAAGATACCCCATGCAACCCAAAGAGAATAACTGAAACAGCCCCAACGACTGGACCAACTGAAAACGGGCATCCAACTGACGTATCCGACAAAAAAAAATGACCCCCCCTAAATCCCCCAAACAGGCAAAAACTACAAGGGACAGAATAACCAACAAACCTCAAAATAAGAAGTCCCTCCCAAGGGGGCCCTCTGACAAGGAGGAGCATGCAGAATATAAAGGAGCCCCTCCCCTTCCCATGAGGGGGTAGGGTGTTAAGAGAAAATCAAGGCCTGCAACACACCCCCCTCAAGTGCTGAACAGTCTGGAAAAACTCACCGAAGTAACAGCAGAAGTCAGAATCCGAAAGCGTCAAAACCTATGACCAAGCAAAGCCCCCAAGTATCTATTAGAGGCAGACTCCCACTCAAGGAGACGGATGATGGCTCCGAATAATCCCTAGCACAAGAGGAAGGATACTGAGAGATTCATGTATTCCCCAAATCAGAGAAGGAGTGGGTAAAATCCCAACAAGGATCAAAATCTTCAATGAAACAGGGACCAACTATCTGAAGTATCCAAGGGATCTAAAAAGAACCACGTCAAGTATCACTCAAAATGAAGTCCACCTGAGACAACCGAAGTGCAAAAACCAGACCTAATAAGAAGGGACAGATAAGAAAAGATCTACGGATCCTTCCTATGGAGAAACAAGTGCAGGTCAAAACCCACTTGAGCTCCCCGATATTATCAACCCCGGTAAAATCGAGGGAGCTCCCCCCCAGGGAAGCTAACGATGAAGGATAAAGGAAACGCCTGACGCGCCTGCAGATCAATGGAGTCAAGGTTGCCCCACGAGCAACAGGAAACAGAGGAACAAGAAGGAAAATCCAAAACGAGCAATCTCCCGCCAACAGGACTAGCTAGGCCCACGTAGTGCAAAATACAACAGAAGAAAAAGCACCCCCTCCCCACCCCACGACAACAGCAGGTGCCGACACAGGTGAATAAGCTGGCCTATGAGTCAAGGGAAGTCTCAGGGAAAACTGCACGACAAATCCATTATATGAACACCAGGAAGACTCAGACCCAGACGTCACTGACCCACGAAGAGGTCACCAGCGAGACAGAAAACAACCCAAGTGGAGTCAGAATATGGGAAAAGTTACAAAGGGATCACATATCTTAATCTGCCAGAAACGAACATCCGGAGCTCGAAAATCTCAACCACCCAGAATTGTATTTGGACACCTCGTAGGGATCTGAAATACATCCCAAGATTCACAGTAAATTCAAACGGACTCTTCAGATCGCGAGTTCTAAACCAGGGTTAAAGCCTCCAACAAACAAATAAGAGAAGTAGTACCAATGGAGAAGGTATGGAAGCAAAGACACCAAAACGGTACTGCCCCTACTAGCCAAAGACAACTCAACCCGACAAAATTCCTACAGCACAGGACGCCGGGAACGGATCTGTCACAAGAAAGAATACGGAGGACACCAAACTGCCCACACATACCCCAAACCGCCCAACATGAAGCCAAGAGCGACCGTATCGAATGTAAGGGGGGGATTGACAGGAGGTCTAAACATCTAAGACGGAATAACCCAGATGAAGTGAAGTCCCAGAGAGGAAAAGTCCACTGAAAAAGAACAAGAAAACACCCCGAAACAGGAGAAGTCCTGCTGCAGGGACCAAAGGAAAACACAGGATAATTTGCGTCTCGTGCTCCAGCCCAACTCAAGAAGGACAGTAAAAGTCCAAATTAAGGACAGGAAAAGGAACCAACAAAGCGGCAAAGTCAGGAAGGGTTGGCGCCACTACAGATCACTAACGAGGGGCTAAAGGACGTCTCATGACCCACCCCCCGGAGCAACAGATACGAGAGTCAGGAGGCGAAGGATAACACCAAACCCGAAAGATCATGAATACAGACAGGGCGGGTGAGATACAGAGATGAGGACATAGTTCCTAAGGAGTCTCATCGGAACTGAACCAAGAGGGGGGAGGTCTACGTGGGGAGAGGGACATCACCCCGAAGTATAATAGGTACTATCAGGACATGTGACTAAACAAGGACCCCCTCAAATACAACGTCTGAGTTCCTCCAACTCCAATAGATGGGGAGAGCCAAAACGGGGAGCCGAAGAGAAACCAGGGCGGATGGGCTTGGTACAATAATCGACCAAGAGTCAGAATGTACCTGGAATAAGAGGACGCGGAATTACCAGAAGCAAACGTCCAATTAAAGAGAATTATGAATATGGAAGGAACATACAGAACAGCAAAGAGTGGAGCGGGTCAAAATGGAAGGCCTTAGCTGTCATATAATGAGAATGTCCTCAGGAAAGAGAAAGTCCTCAAAAGAAGTAGAAGGAGATTGCATAACCAACCAAATAAAAAAAGGCTATCTTCTGAAAGAGTAGAGATCAACGACCCTCGAGACCAACCGAAGGTAGGGTTCTAGAACGACAATCAGTCAAGAAACGAATAATATGCCAAAAGCTTCAACGCCCCCCCCAGGAGGAAAGAAGCACGTCTGTATTTAACTGCAGAGGAGATCAAAGAAGGAAATCGGTAGCCAAATAATAGTAAGCGGATCAGCCGTAGAGAAGAAGGACATATATCAGACTCTCCAGAGCTCAACCCAGAAGTAGAAGAGACAAGGATTAGGTAGAGGAACCGGGGAGAAGGCCGACGTGAAAACCGAAGCCCCGGGGAGACAAACACCATGCCAACTCCAACAAGAAGAACCGTCCCAGGAGAGATAGTACCACAAAAGTGGACTTAGATGTGAAAATAGAAGACCAGAGATTTCCGTAGACTAGTAAGGAAGAGAAATAAGCGCAAGTCCAAGTCGGCAGGGCGAATAGGGAGGATTCATATGGTGGACTTAGTGTCGACGGCAGAAATTAATACAGAACCGGCTCGTCAGGCGGAATAGAGCTTCATATAACCCGATAGGACAAGACTAAGGCTCAGGGGTCGTCCAAGGTCCTGGAGGAGTCAAAGGAATAGAGGTTATCCAGAAAGTGAAGTCCCAAACGGCGTGTGAGGGTAGACAGTTCCTTAGGGAAGGACTTATATGAAGGTCCCAGAGTAATTAAAGACTCGGGGGGTTGAATATAGTAAATCCAGGCCGGCAAGAACTTCTACAGTAAGAAGAACTCTGAAAGGCGGCAGATATCCGCGAAAACAGAAAAGAGAGGAAAGGACAAGCCGAAAAAGGCGAAGGACCAGGAATTGGGCTCGTCGCCTTGGGTTGAGGAGTCAGAGTGATAGTTAGAACAGGAAGTGGCAAAGTGAGACCGCCTCCCAAGATGCCAAAGGAGGCTGGGGCCGTACTTGACGGAGGCCACAGAAAGAGGCAAGAAAACGCACGGCTGGGGATAAACGGGAGCCTCAGGTAAAGATGAATGAATCATTCCTTCCCACGAAACGAGAGATGACTACCTGAGAGTATGAGGCGGGTGAGCGGCCAGTATAAGTAGAGTCAATCTGCCGACTTGAATAAAATCAACAATAAAAACTAGTAACACACGGCCATTGGAGTCCGAAGAATTCGTGTGAAAAAACCCAAGGGGAAAGAACAGCTGATATGAGTAGACCTCACACGACAATGGTGCTTCAGTGAACATGAAAGTAGCAAAATCGCTTACCTGAATACGAGAGGGAGAAAACTCCGGATAAACAGCAGGGGGACAGTAGGAGGGTGGATAGGGCGTGCCATATGGGATAGGGACGAAATCTCGCAAAGAGTAACAAGCACCATGTCACGAGGCGCCCATAACTATCCCAGAGGGGGTTGAACCCCAAGAGAATCAAAAAACGGAGATATAAGCTCCGAACGAGGGATATCTCTCCGTACGGTTAAGACGGACACAAACGGCGGAGAGCCTGAGAGGAAAAAGGGCATTAGAGGTGAAGTGCGAGGGGGGCAGGTTCAATACGGGCAACAGTAGGAATGCAGAGGGATGGAAATGACACAATAGCCCAAGTCAACACCAGGACCCAGGGCAAAGTAGGACGGTTAAAGAATTCTCCGGGGATCAGAAACCTAACCCACAAGAAGCGGACGTGACACCTACAGCTGAAGACAGAGGGAAGTCCCAGAGTGAGCAGGAAAGCTAAAATATCTAGCGAGGAAGGTCGAAGAGAATTGAGGAAGAGAAAATGCACCACCACGTCCGACAAGGCTGAGACAGAGACCCAGTATGCATTGAAAATAAATCCAACCAGAAGGAGGCTGAATAGTCAAGTGTAGGGTAAATTTGTTAATGGCCAGAGTAGAGGCCAGAGGAAAAAGGTAAATAACGAATAAATAAAGGAAGGAAGTCAAAACATGCATCAGAATCCAAGAACACTAGTATAGAAGGAACAGAAGCCCCCACTGACAGGAGCCGCAAAGCGAGGATAGGCCAGCGAGAAGGGAGGAAAAAGAGACAGAGATTCCAGAAGCCTATGAGGACATTGGAAAGGGGCGAACAGAGAGGGGAAGGGTCACACGCAGTCTTTCAGCTAACATGGAGAAAGACCATCCGTCCCGAGAAGGGAGCCAGAGAGGAAGTGGGGAAGGGCATTTGAACGGTCAGTGTGGTCAACTGAGGTTAGTCATTAGGGGCAGGATCAGTCCTTATAGGAGCCGACACTGAATCACCAGACGGAGAAGAGGACGTTCAAGTACCGACATAAGTAGTCAGAAGAAGGCGAAACTATGATCCGGAGCCAAGGAGGCAAGGGAACAACTCTCCTGATTCTGAGGAACACAGTACAGCCCAAAAGAGCCTCAAGAGAGTGAAGGACCGAACCTTCAAATACAAGGGAAGGATTTCTCAGGTGACTGAAGAGTGGGAACAAATTTGAGAGTTAGTATAGGATTCCTGACACCATGAGTAACTCCCCAAGATTTTCGGACTGGATCAGAAGGAGAATCTGGGAAAAGAGGGGGAACGAAGCCTCAAGGGAGGAGTCCCTGACACAGCTCAAGTTGCATGATTTGGTCCCAGAACAGCAGGGCAGGGCGGATCAGATCTCCAGGGACAGATGGAATAATCTGGAGTCCAGAGGGGAAATCTCAATGAAAGGAATAGAGGTAAGGGCGAGACTTCTATGTCAGGCTATAGAGGTATGGGTCAATAACCTCCCTCAAGAAGAAGATGGAATATGGCAAGAGGCCGGGGCTGACTGTCTTAAGAAGCAAACGGGATTCTTATTCGGGGGGGCAGCACGTGACTCCTGCAAGATAAATACGAACAATAATAACTGGTCAACACTGAGTGCTAGAAGGCAACTATATAGAAATCAGGACTACCAGAGGGACCTAGCCGTATGTATGGATATGATGAGCATAATTTTAGTGCTATACCAAAACATAACACCAACTGTCAAGGGATGGAGGATAGAAGGGAAGGACGCATGTACGGCAATGTACGATGAACTCAGAAGCTGGGGAGGCCCAGGAGTGGCACAGGAAATTATGAAAGAATGGTTTTATAACAAAACGGAAGGAGAGCTCCCCCCCTCGGGTCTCCCTATAAGGACAGCAGGAACATCAACATCCGGGATGTGGGGAGACTTTATCAAGGCGGCACAAAGTTACATCGTTCAGTTACAGTGCTACCAGACAAGCGGGGAAAGCGATCATAAGTGGGAGACAACATGTGTCCAGACTAAGAACGAAACCAATTGTGAAAAAAAGGAAAACGACCAGCAGGCAATTACAAATTACAAAAAGGTAAGTATAGAGTCGAGTCAAAGTGGGTGTAGGATCTCCGATCCACGCCCGAAAAAGGAGGAGGACAGTATAAGTGACCCCTGACCTCCCCAGAGTAGATCTATCCCGAAAGCGTCACAATCAAGGATGCTGAATAAGGAGTCGAACCCGTACCGTCAGATAAAGACTAGGGTTCGAATCCAGGTATTGAACAGCCCGAGAAAGCCGTCCAGCAAGGGACACTCCCCAAGGAAACCGAAAGTCCCAGGGGGAGAATCGACATCACCAAAACATTAGTCAAATATAGTTTCAACCCCCGGCATATAGGCCCTGACACAGCACACGAAGGAGGCAGACCAAAACATAACCCAGATGATAACAGCTGACGAGAGGAGGGACTCCCCACAACCCCCCGAAGCAGGCGTTATTCAGGTTAATGCAATCCTGGGTAGTCTGGTTGTTGGAGGGATGGCTATAGCGGGTATTCTGGGTCTGTATAGGATCTTCAAGAGAGCGAATCGTACCTCCAGGTATAGGGAATATCCCAGATTAAGGATACATCCAAGACTCCAGGACTCGTGGAGGGTAGCCTAATCAACAAGGACAGGAAACCAGAAAGGAAACCCCAACATGTGAAGACGCTGTAGAACAGCACCGCGAAGATCAAAACAACCCCCCAAACAGGCCAGAAACCCACGCCCACCCCCGGAGAAAGGACTACTACCGGAGTAATATGGTCTAGGATAGGATCCAGTCGAGACCGAAAAATGGGATTCCCGACCCAGGACTAATTAAAACCACGAACGGATGTACAGCACAAGTCCCCGAGTAACTCCCCACGCCCGAGGAGCAACATCTGCTTCAGTAGATGCCTGAAGGGTATGAATCACGGAGCTCATGGGGTAGTTTACGATGATGAAGTTCTGCCCAAGAGGGCCAATCTGAAGTGGAGAGACAAATACAACAGCCACACCGACCCATCCAGAGTCTCCCGCAGCTCCCAGCGATCCTGAGAGTACTAACCCCCCTGTACTCTTACCGAACCGGTCCAACCCCTTGTGTAGTGACAAAATTAAAGAAATCAGGGGAGTATTATCCATTATCAGGTAGAAGCCGAAGGATCCGTTAGGAGAAGGGACGCGTCCTGATTACTCCGGAATGAAGTGATGCGGTTCGGTGCGTTGATGGCTCCCCTTATCTATTGGTATCATTTCACCGAAGTCTTCTTTGGGACTGAAGGACTTAAAAGAACAGGAACCAACAACAGTTAACGAGTATCATTAGGGGACGGGACTCACCTCCTGGAAAGGCTGTAAAACTCACCAAGTGGGTGCTCACAGGTCCTGGTAATTTTGGGTAAGTAGGAGGAGTCGTCAACTCGGCGCCTTCTTGGGCTCTCAACATTTGACGATAGGAGATCTCGAACGGAGTAGTACGTTATTTGTGGGAGAAATGGGGGCAAAGGGGCGGTATGGGTCCTGGGATGGTGGGTCCAGGCTGCCGGACTCGGCAATTCGAGTTTCAGGTTTTTGGGTTCATAGTTTGGGCTTTGAATGATAGGCCTGATGGGTTCGGGTTCGGTGGTCAGTGCCTAGAGCCCAGGTTTAGGTTTAGGGTTTAGGGTTTAGGGTTTAGGCTTTAGTGTTCAGCGTTCAGGGTTCAGGGTTCAGGGTTCAGGTTCAGCGTTCAGGGTTTAGGGTTCAGTGTTTAGGGTCTACGGTTTAGCTCTTCTGATGAGGGTGTAGGGTCCACGTCCTAAGTTTCAGGTACTCGCGTTTAGTGTCCAGGTGCTATGTCTCAGGTTCTGGGGTTTAGGGTTTAGTGTTTATTTCTTCGGTTTGTGTGGATCTGGGATAGGGATTTACTCCTAAGGCGGGAGATTTTAATAGCTAGTTCGAGGGGTTTCAGATTTATTTCCATCATCTAGTGGTTCAGTGCCCGATCTTCTGTGGATAATCTATATTCCTCCTGTTGTTTCGGACAATCATCATACCTTTGTCTTCACCTTACCCGTTAGAATTTCAGTATATGTCTCAACTTCCTGCCATCTCTCCGTTTCTACTCTAGACTCCTTCTTTGCAGATGCTGTCATTCTTCTGGTTCTGTAAAATTACTCCACTCCTCAATTGACCTGTTGGCACTTCCCGAGAGGTCTTGGCCCTTTTTAGCCCTTTGTTAGTCCCGCTGGGTCACGCAGGTTTTTGGGGGGGGAATTTGGCATGTGGATTCAAACTCTATTATTCTGGAAATACAGCGCCTCCTTCGTCTGGATACTCCTCAATCTCAGGTGTAGTTGGGTTGGATTAGTTCTGGGCGGTTGGGTGTGTTGAATGGTCTTCGACTATCCCCGGTTAGGGATTCGGATTTCTCCTCCTACGTGTAATCTACGGTTTCGTCTTATTCTAGTCATTCTCTTGGATCCTGAGCTGTTATTTCTACAGTTTATACGCTTTGGAATTATTATGTACTGTTTAGGTAGGATGGTTCTGGTCCTAAGATTCATCTGTTACCCTCCAATGTCCGTTCCAGAGGGGTTATCTTTCACTCTTGCCTTTTTATTACTCCTGGTCCGATTCCTTATGCTCTTATCTCTTCACAGAGTCAGACTATAAAAGTGACTCACCTATTGTTACTACTGGTACGATTCTTGGATTGTATCTTTCCTGATTCGGTGATTCGTACTCCGTGTCTAAGGCCAGTAGGATTAGCCGCTGGTTCAAGTTGGAGATAGTGCATCGTTTTGTTCATCCTCCTGTAACCTGCCGTTTATGGAGGACAATTTCTTCTTAGTTTTCGTCTTGATGATTCAATTTGCCTCTCCTGTTCTATTGAGTGAGTCCAATTCGTAATCTTGTGCTTTATTCCCTGAGTTCATAGGAGATAACTTACTATGGAAGAATGTTTCTGTCCGCTTCATATTCTTTCCTCAAGCATGGACGATTATGGTTTAGGGGTCTGGTTGTCCTCTTCTAAGGAAGCACTTGTAGTCTATAGGGCCTTAAACTCAGGTGTAGTTGAGGCTCTTCTCCGTTGATCTTACTCTTGTCGCTTATATTCTTTGAAAGTTCTTCTAGATTTCTGGGGGTAGTTGCACCTTTAGATTCTCGACTTTGCTGGTACTTTTAGGCTATGTTCCTTTATCTTGTATTATTCATTGTTAGTTTCTGTGGGGGGGTTTCCTGTTCCCTATTTGGCAGGCGCACCCCATAACTTCCCTTTTCTTGCATCTGATGCACTTAGGTTCGTGTTTTACTATTTCGAGACTTGTTCCCTCTATTACGACTCAGTTTGTTAATGCTTTGCCTTCAGGTTTGACGCATGATCTGTACACTTGTTCTGTAGGTTCATGGTGCAAGACGACTGCGGCTATTTCAGAGTTCATCCTGTAGGACTCTTTGTGTTGTGTTTCCGTCTCTATATTCTCCTGTTATTATTTTTGCTCGTATTGTTAACTCTTTAGCTTCCATTCTTTATTTTATATGTTTTGGCCCTGAATGATCATGTTCCGAATTTGCGGTTTATCCTGTTGAGGTTTTGCCCTTTTCCTCATACTTTTATTCTTGGGCTTTAACCTCCATGGGATGTCAGGAATAGCTTAAGGCTCAGTGGGGTCGGAGTAAGCTCCATTCTACATGCATTGTAGGGTACAGGCAATTTTTAGTCGTAGAGATTGGAAATGTATATCGCAGAGGTAGTTGTTCATTTTTTGCCCATTTCTTTTATTATATCGATTTTATCTTGGACTGCGTAAGTCCTTCTTTCAGCTTTTTGGTTGATCCTTTAGGTTGCTCTCATTATTTGTTATCTCTGGGCTCCCTTCGTCACTTTGTTGTTTGGCTTAGTTTCCTGTTACTTGGAGGGCTTTAATTCTACTGAGTTTGTCTTAAGAGTACATCGTTTTCTATATATTTTACCTGTATTTGTTGGGTTCTACGCTTCAATTTTACGCAGTTTCGTCGCAGGGGGTAAGCACCTATCTCATTTGGGGGTTACTCAGTCATGGTGCTGTCGGGTTATGGAGGTTTGTTGGTGCTTCAAGTTTTACTGTTCATTTCGTATTCTGTAATATTTAGCATTAATGCCCTACTTATTATTCCTCTGGTTGGAGTTTGGAGGGCAGTTTTCAGGCTTTATCTTGTATCTTTATGCTCCCAGGTGGCTGGTTATGTCCGGGGGGCTTTTTTCATGTCTTAGCGTCTATTAGTACTGTTGGATAAGTTATCTTAGGCGGGTAAGACTCACTGATTATGCGCGTTTGGTATTGTCATCATTCTTAGGTCTTTATCATCTAGGGTTTAGTTCTTATTTGTATCTTCTGGGGGTTAGTCTGTATATCCTTCGGCTTAGGTTCTACTCATTATCAGTATGGCGCGTTTGTTAGAGAGTATTCACACTCTCTATTCTTTATTCTTAGTGTTAATTCCTTACATATGGTCTCCTGTTTTTGTTGGCTGCCTTCCTTCCGTATCTCCTTAGTCTTAATATTTTTCGCCATATGCTGACGGTCTATGGTTCAGATTCCTTGGTGGCGGGTTCAACTTCACTGTTTAGGACTCAGGCGATACCTTTAGTGTTTATCTCTCTTTGATGAAGGGGAGGGGGGTTCCTTTCTTATCTAGGTCTATATTCGTCGGGTACTTTGCACTTTTCAAGTTTATGTTTTATGATTCCTCCTCTGAGGTTTCCTGGTGTATCTGTTCCTATCGCCCCTGATGGTATTTCCCCGATTGTTTCCGTGGGAGGGATCACCTTTATGTTCTACATGTATGAATTTGCGGCGCCCTTGTGCATTTCTTGTTTTTTACTTTTTATGGGGTTGAGATCTGTTGGATTAATTGGTTTCCAACGTCGAGTTGTTTTTTGGTATCATCTATTGTGCAAGCTCTAGGGTTAAAGGCTCTTGCCTGCTGTTGCTGGGTTTTTTATCAGCCCCTAATGTCTACTCTTTACGGTTAGGCGTTTAATTTTGTTCGCTCCGAATTTACAGTTTGCACCTTAAGCAGCCCCTCACAAGCATCACTGCCCACTGTGCGTTCCCAGGTGGTTTTTTCTCCGGGTTAATTCACTTTATTATGTCCTTGCTCCTGTGGTAATTTTGGGTTGTTTGGTTCTTTTTACGGTGCCCTGTTTTATTTTCTCTCTATTGTGTGTTTTTAGAAGTCTGCGAAGATAGAAGAACAGATATCTCTGTAGATCCCTTATTATTCTTCTTATATCCAACATATTTTAACCGTGTTAATATAAAGATACGGAACAGTCAATGTTTAGACTCCGTGTATTTACTTCATTGAGATATATACATAGGGACAACAGTCTTACTGAGCTAGTGTTACTTCTTTGGCTATTTTATTTACTTCCTTTTCCCATAGGAGATATTTGTAGAATCTGGGAGTTATACAGGTAACGATGACGCGCCGAATTATAGAGCACATATTCCTTTATATTAATGCTAATCCATACTGCTTTAAGATATTTCGCTCAGGAGTTGTTCCTCATATTCAAATGTGTATGTTCTTCTTCGTCTATCTCAATAGGGAATTTTTCTTAATCATATGGTTACTATGGGAGGGGTACACAACACGTTTGTTTTTGGACGATTTTTTGAATATTTTTATTGAAATTTGTGAACACATGTTGAATGACTTGTATTTATCAGTCGATTTCTTGCTTCTACAAACAATTCTTACAATAGACTCTCGAGTACAGGCGGTTATAGGAGAGTATTGCACAACCTTTCGATCCCCTCTTACAGGATATATGTTGTCGCTTATGAATTCAACTTGTGTGTTGGAATGCTCGTGTGCTCATAAAAAATATATGTATACGTGACGCCCATTAAATTATTTCTTGTATTTATCTGAGGATAATAAGAATCGCAGTGACAGATATCATGCTTATTACTTCTATTCAAGCACAACGCTGATATATTCAGACTATGACTGTTCGTATTTTATGTCTTATCATGCAGAACAAAGTCTATCACTCTGATATCACCCCTTTGAAATACAGACAG